CCTCAGAAGGGCAGTCCAGTGTAGGTAGGGTAGGCTCCAGGCTAACTGGCTAGGTTTATGTATTTCAGCTGTGTGATCTTGATCAAGTGGCTTAACCCCTCTTTGGGGCTTGATTTTCTTATCTATAAAGGAAAAAGAATGTAAACCTTCCTCATCAGATTATGAGGCTAAATAAGAAAGTAAATATAAAGCCTAGGCCAGTACATAAGAAACGCCAACTACCATTCTATCAAAAATACAAGTGGAAGCCAGGCCACCAGGAAAAGCTTTCTTCTTGGTCATGGAGTCTAATAAATATTGGTTACCATTCTGCCTTAACAGTCCTGAATTTGTAGGATTCAGTTGCCCTTTAATCTTCCAAAGGAATAATTCAGTGATTACCTGGCCTGGCATGCTGGCTCCCACCTGGAATCCTAACACTTTGGGAGACAGAGATGGAAGCATCGCTCCAGACCAGGAGTTCAATACCAGCCTGAGAAAGAGTGAGACCCCCATCTCCACAAAAAAAATAGACAAATTAGCCAGGCATGGTAGTGTTCCTATACTCCCAGCTACTTAGGAGACTGAGGCAGGAGAATTGCTTGAGCCCAGGAATTTGAGGCTGCAGGGAACTATGATATCACCACTGCACTCTAGCTGGAGCAACAGAGTGAGACCCTGTCTGAAAAAGTAATAATAATTACCTACCCTTTCTGGGTTTCAGACACTATACAAACTTTCTTTACCTCCTCTTATTTGTGTTTTTGTCCATTGTCTGTTTTTGTCCTGGGGTTATCTGGCAGTGAATTCATTAGTGCTCTCAATATCACCCACCGTGAATCCAGAGAAGGGCAGGTTTTAGGAGGACCCACTGAAAAATCCACAATGTTGGGGTCAGAGCAAATTTTAAGTACACTACACCTTCCTCTCTTGTAGTCTACTTCCTGGTTCCCAGTCTCCCCTCCACTACACCAGGAAGTTGATGGAAATTCCAGTAGTTCAGTGGTGGATGGGATGGGAGCAAGGAGCCTATAAAAAGGAGAGTGAAGAGGAAGAGTTGGAAGCATGATCACCATACAGAGAATCATTAGTGCTTATATTTCTGTTTCTTCTGAAATGTTTCTACTTCTCACCTTTGGAACATTATAGGTTTACAAGGTGACAAAAATGGAAACACAAGACCCCGGCAGCCTGGAGGGAAAGATGCCCATGGTAAGTTCCAGAGCCTTCTCCAAGGCCATCTCAAGAGTGCACATTGATTTAGCCGTATGGCCCAATCTCCAGTCAATTGGCAATGACTTCCAGGGCACTGTGCTGAGAGTCTAGGGCCACTTCTGAGTTCAGGGGAAGAAGAACTCATGAAGTTCTGTCAGAATTGATTTGGAATGTGTGTCGTGGGCATAGGTGAAAAAGGAAAAAGCTCCTACACCCATATATCAGATATAATACCAAAGCTAAAGCATAAACCCCACCAATTACAAGGTAGTCTATTAAGGGGAACAGCATTAAAAGCTATGTTAACTTTCAATAGGTTGTCAAATGTGTCTGTAAGATAGGGGGCCTGTGAATAAGCAGAGTGAGGCAGGGAAAGCAGCACTGATCTGGGTTGGAATCCAGCTTTTGCCCCTCTTTTGCTTTCATGGGGCCTCAGTTTCCCCCTCAGTAGAGACCAGATGGCATCTGAGGCCTAAATGAGGTTCATCAGTTCTTCTCATTGTTTTGCTTTAATTTAGTTAATGACATTGGTATTTTAAACGTATTTATGCAAAATCAGATTTGGATCTTATATAATCTGCTCAGAAGATAAATTTAATGAGGCATAAATCATTATGGATATTTTTAATGTTCAGATGTTGTAAAATGGAACCAAAAAAGGGGAAAACTAGTAAAATCTCATTTTAGAAATGCCATCCTTCTTCTGAATGGGGGTAG